TAAAAAAAAAAAAAAAAAAAAGATCTTTATCAATACCTTCTGCATAACAAAATTTCCAGCTCAGTAACTGCAAAAATTAACCCCCTACAGAGCTGTAGGGTCAAGCAAGGCTATAGCCCGATTCCCCCTCCCAGTCAGTGGAAAGGTGTCTGCCTGACCAGCAGCTACAAGCAACAGAGCAGTGCAGAACCAAGTATTTCCCATGTACTTGACGGCTAACAAGCCTCTCCAGACTGTCTATCCTTGGCCCGCACATAGGCTATGCCCAGCGTGACTCCCACCCTCTCCCCTCTGCCAGATAACCCCCTGCAGGACCCTGGCCGGCGGGGAAACTCACCCTGCCCGCTGCCATCGGGTCTTCCTCAGGTGTAAGTAAGAAAGGCTATGTCTTTCCCCTCTGGTCCCCCTTGTGGGTTTTTCAGACTAGCAAAGAACAGCATGGTGCCCCCGGGTTTGGAGCTCCTACAGTACAAGAGTTTACCTTAAATAAGCTGGTTGCTTCCCGACTTAATCAATANTCCCCTCTGGTCCCCCTTGTGGGTTTTTCAGACTAGCAAAGAACAGCATGATGCTCCCGGGGTTGGAGTTCCTACAGTACAAGAGTTTACCTTAAATAAGCTGGTTGCTTCCCAATGACTTAATCAATGGTATCGGGAAAATAAAATACATTTCTAGTAGGTACCACAGGTGGGACTGGGTGACCAAAACCTATAGGCTGCCCAAGTTCAAAACTGACAGGGAGGTTGAAAAAAGATATTGGACTAGGAGTTTAGATATCCTGGATTCCTGTTCTGCCTCTGCCACTTACAAGGAGTAAAAAACTATCTAACTTCTTGGGAACTGTTTCATTTTCAGTAAAACAGAAATTAAAATTCTTANAGGAGTAAAAAACTATCTAACTTCTTGGGAACTGTTTCATTTTCAGTAAAACAAATTAAAATTCTTGAGCTATATTGCACACAGATTGTTCTGGTGATCAGTGGAGATAAAGTGTCAATTCAGAAACATGGTGGTAGATAGCACCAGAGACAGCATTTTACAGCAGGAAATGGAAGCCCAGAGAGGCTAAATGACTTGAAAAGGTCACACAACCAAGGTATGACAAAGCGAAGAATGAAGTTCATAATTTTGAGGTTTTTAGTCCTGAGCCTTTTCCAGGACACCTGTTGCCTTTTCTGTAATAGCTTCTACCCACTGAACTTCGCACATTATTACTCAACATTATTTGCATGCCATTTCAATAAAACCAACCTAGTCTCCCTTTGGTAAAGCCATTCTTTCCTTTCTTTCTTTTAGATAACATTGTATAAGTAAGTTTCAGGTGTGCCATATTCACCACCCTAAGTCTAGCTTCCATTCCGCTCCCCCTCCGCCAGTTTCGCCCTCTCTTCACCCCCACCATTCCTTTTTTTATTGAATTTGTTGGGGTGACATTGGTTAATAAAACCATACAGGTTTCAAATATACAACTCAATAAAACATCATCTGCATCCTGCATTGTGTGCTCACCACCCAAAGTCAAGTCTCTTTCCGTTCCCATTTATCTCCCCTTTGCTCACTTCCACCCCCCCAACCTCCCCACCATTTCCTCTGGCTATCACCATATTGTTGTCCATGTCTGTGAGATATGTGTGTGTGTGTATAGTTGTTGCTTAATCCCTTCATTTTTCACCCAGCCCCCCAACCTCCCTCCCCTGACAGCTGTCAGTCTATGTATCTTCGCTTCTGCTTCCATTTTGTTAAATTATTTTTTTGATTAGAATCCACAAATGAGATCACATGGTATTTGTCTTTCTCTGACTGGCTTATTCCACTTAGCACAATAATTTCCCGGTCCAGCCCAGCCTGCGTGGCTCCGCAGCTGAGCATGGACCTAGGATCCAGGAGATCCGGGTTGGATTCCCAGTCAGGGCACATGCCTGGGTGCCTGTCATGCAGAAGGCAGCTGAGCAACGACTCTCTCATCATGGATGTTTCTGTTTCTCCCTCTCCCTTCCTCTCTCTGAAATCAATAATGATATAAAAAATTAATAAAAAATAATTTCCAAGTCCAGCCATGCCATGGCAAAAGGTAAGATTTCCTTTTTTTTTTTTTTTTTTTTT